GTGTGTGTGTGTGTGTGTGTGTGTGTGTGTGTGTGTGTGTGTGTGTGGCTATTTGAACTATAGAATGTAGTACCTTTCTAGCTCAATATGATCTCAATTATTTTTTAAGTCTTCTCAGCTGATGATATCCCCATGAATGTATGAATCTTAATTGATTAAAAGAGGTCTTTATTTTACACATACAGAATAAGAAGCTTATAGAAATAGAAGCACTCATGAACAATAACTTGATAACTGCAATTGAAATGAGCACTCTTTCTGAGGTAAGTAGAGTTTATATGTTAGTGTAATTTTTTAAGCGTTACTAAGGATAATTGAGATTTAGGAGCATCAAGGTTGGAGATTCATATTTTAAACTTTGTGCAAAGAAATGATGACAATATCAGTTTTAACTGGTTAATAGCACATCATTTGGTATAATTGGTTATTGAGATTTTTATATAAAAATTAGGTTTTGATTAGAACACAGGATTAGACAGTTCAGTGGAACATAATGGCCCCTAAACAACCAAAAAACAAGACATTCATAGAAAGGTAGTATTTCAAATTAGGAAAGAATTTGTATTATTAAAAAAAGGATGGGCACAATTGAAAAACTGGGGAAAAAAAATAGAGGAAGATCCTACTATACACCATTCTCTAAAATAAATTTTAGATGGATTTAAATAAAAAAGAATATATAAAGTAAGAAATTACAAATAAATTCATGTTAGATAGGAGAGGCCTTTCTATACTAGAAAAAAGATAGAAGCCATAAAGGAAGCTATTGATGGATTTTCTGGAAAAAAAAAATTTTAGAAGGCTAAAAATAAAAATAAAATATTAAAAGCTAGTGGCAGACTGGGAAAATTAAACAAATAGCAGATAGAGCATTAATATTAATAGTTAAATAGCTCTTATAATCTATCATGAGGAAAATCAAATCACTAGAAAAATCAGGAAGGGAAAAGGGCCAAATTAACTTAGTTATCTAAATAGGGAGAATAAATGCTGGCAATTAATAACAAATGAGAAGGCAAAATATACATAATAAATAAACTGAAGAAAGGCTAGTGAAGTCCCAATTTTAGGTAAATTTCTTGATAGATTCTGGAGGCACTTTAGTGCTTTATGGGGCAGCTTTTAAATGGAATTGCCTATATTTAGATCCCAGCTCTGTTACTTCCCAGTCCTGTGACCTTGGCCTTTAACTCTTTGAACCTTAGTGTCCTCTTATGCATGGTGTAGATAATGGTAGTATATCTATAAAGAATTACTGTAATTGTTAGATGTGGCGAGCATGTGTCCTGGCAATAGGAAGAATGCAATAAATGTTAGCTGTTATTACTTTTTTATTATTGCATGTATATCTTCCTGTGTTTTCTAAATTTTCTGCAAATCTCTCCTTTAAAAACTTTTAAAAGTCATTTTTAGGGCTCATAAATACATAGTCTTTGTAGTATAAAGATAGGAACTCTTTCAACCTATGTGATCAATGTTTAGCTCCTTTGTCAGTTTTATAAAAGCTAGCCAAAGAGTACGTACTTTATCACCTAACTTAATTCACATTTGGATAAAGAAAGGATTTGTATAAATATCCCTGTAGAATAATGTTCACAGGACGTGTAGCGCCTAGCATTATTTTAAATTTGATATCTAGTACAACCAGTGAGTAGAGATGGCGCCTTATACATTTAGTACCCTTTAAGGAGAAGAGATGCCATTCACTGGGTGGGTGGATGGGTAGGGAAAGTCAAGGAGGGAGCTCTGTTTTGCTGATCAGCTTGCAGGGCTAAATCGAATTGCCCTGAATAAATTTCTAAGGCTAGAATCAGACATCAGCAGTGGGGAGTGTAGAGTAGTTAGTACAGGAATTGACTTGGAGAGTAAGAGAAAGAAGCTAATTAATTAGCAAGACCTGGAAGAACTGTGGAGAACAGTTAACCCTAAAAACTTAGCCCTAAAAACATTGCTCAACTGTTTGTTGTGAGTTATGTGATATAAAGCTCCTTCCTTCCACTGGTTCTTTAAAAAAATCTTTAGTAAAGTCAACATTGTTCCCAGATGCTTTTTATGTGGTTCTCTTTGGAGAACTTGAAGAGGGCTGAGATCAGCATCTGGATTTAGGAGAAGTAAAAGAGAGTAGATGCAGAAGCTGGAGGATGAAGGGACAGCATACAACTTTGGTGTCCGCTTTCTTGGACTCACTATTTAACAGATTAACTTTTGCATATCAAGTTTCAAGTTTTGCAGTTCCTTTTCTTTTTAGTTGGGGGAGAGGATGTTGGGGAATGTAGACATTCTAATATCAGAACAATATAATAAAGTATAGGAAGAAAGCTCATACGTGCTTCTGTTCTGCTTTCAGCTACTTTCTTCTTTATCCTTTCTTCTCCCCAAACCTCATATGGGTAACTGCTTTGTTTCTTTATATTAAAACAAAAATATAAATATTTTCTTTATTTTCTTTCTTACACAAAAGGTACTATACTGTCCCTAATTGTACTATGACTTTTTTTAACGTGACATATTTTGAAGATCTCTCCATATGATTACAAGGAATGCTTCCTCATTCTTTTTTTAGTGCTGCTTAGGATAGATCTAGAATGGACTTCTAATCTATTTAACTTAGGCTCTGGGTTGGACACTTGGGTTGTCTTTTGCTACTGGCTTGACATTAGTGTAGAATGCTTTTTCCTCTTGCATTATTAATTTTTCCCTCCCTTCTGGATTATTCCCATTAGGATGCAAAAACGTTATCTCCTATCTCCCATCTTTAAAAACATAAAAATGCAACCTTTTATTCAGATCCCCCACCCCCACCTACTCTTATTTTTCTCCTTTGTAGCAAAACTCTTTGAGAGAATTGTTTACACTCTTTCCAGTTTTTCTTGAACCCATACCAGTTGGGGTTTCACCACCACTCCACTAGAAGTGCTCTTCTGAAAATTGATCTCCACATTACCAAAACCTCTAGATATTCCTTGGTCCTTATGTTGACCTTCATGTGACTTTTACAATACTACACTCTCCTAAGTTTCTTCCTACCTCTCTGATTGTTCTTTTCAGTCTGTTTGTTGGTTCCTCTTTATTTCTCCAACTGCTAAATTTTGGGTACTCCAGAACTCAGTTCTTCTCCTTCTCTCTTCTATCTACACTTGTTCCCTAAATGTTTCATCCATTCTCATGGATTTAATTGTTAAATACTCATGACTCCCAAATTTGCATCTGTAGCCTGGCCAGACAATACCTAGCCTACTACCTATTTGGCATTTGTCTTTGGATGTCTAAGAAGCATCTTAAATTTTACATTTGCCACCAAACCAGTTCCTTTTGGGGTCTTCATCTCAGGTAATTGCAATTTTGTTTTCCTCTTTTTTCCTCACACCCCATATCGGATCCTTTAGCAAATCCTTTTAGTACTGCCCTAAAAATCAGTCCAGAGTTTTACCACTTCTCATAACCCTGACTTTCACCACCCCCATCCAAGCCACTGTTTTCTCTTACCCAAGTTCTTGGAGTGGCATCCCAACTTGGGCTTCTTGCTCCTACTCTTGCCCCCCCTATATTCTCCTCTCAGCATAGCAGCCAGAGAGAGCCAATTAAAACATTAGTCTCTGCTGAAAACTCTCCAGTGGCTTCCCCTGTCATCTATTGCCTGTTATTATCTGAAAATTGAAACTCATGTTCTGGGTGCCTGGGTGGCTCAGTTGGTTAAGCGACTGCCTTCAGCTCAGGTCATGATCCCAGAATCCTGGGATTGAGTCCCACATTGGGCTCCCAGCTTAGCGGGGAGCCTGCTTCTCCCTCTGACCCTCTCCCCTCTCATGCTGTTTCTCTCTCTCTCTCTCTCAAATAAATAAATAAAATCTTTAATTAAAAAAAAAGAAACTCGTGTTCTTACTACTCAGCTCCTTCCACTCTTCAGCATTTTCAGTCCACACTCCTCAAACACAGGCAAGCTGCCACCTCAGGGCCTTTGGACTTGTTCTTCCTTCACATAGCCTACTCCCTTACTTCAAATCTTGACTTAAAAGTGACTTCGGTCAAGTCTTCCCTGGCAGCCCTATATAAATCTGAATCCTTCCCCACCCCTGCCCCAACATTTCATATTCTGCTTTTCTTGCCTTAATTTTTCTCCTTATCACTTAACACTGTATTAGATATAATTTTACTCATTAATTTTATTGTTCATCTCACCACAACATGAAGTTCTTAAGTATAGGATATTTGTCTATACCACACCAAATGTCTAGAACCTAGAAAGCAATAAATTTTTGTAAAATGTTAGATAGTGTTTCCCCATTAAGAATGATCCTGGTTTTTTTTTAAGGTTAATATACATATTTAACTTATAATACTTCTGTTATTTAGCCTTTTAAATAAAAAAAATAATGTATTTTACATTACTTTTTTAGCATCTATGGTGATAATCACATGGTCTTTCTTTTTATTTTATTTTACCATTATTTTTTTAAAGATATTATGTATTTATTTGACAGAGAGAGACACAGCAAGAGAGGGAACACAAGCAGGGGGAGTGGCAGAGGGAGAAGCAGGCGTCCCGCTGCGCAGGGAACCCGTGCGTGTGGGGCTCGATCCCAGGACCCCGGGATCATGACCTGCACGGAAGGCAGACACCTAACGACTGAGTCACCCAGGCACCCCTGGTCTTTCTTTTTAGATGTATTGATATGATGACTTATTTTAGTAGCTTTCTTAATTTTGCAATTCTGGAATAAATTTCAAAAATGATTTGTTATTGTGTTCCTAAATTCCTTTTGCCAGCATTTTGTTAGGAATTTTTTAATTGCTATTCATAAGTAAGGTTTTCTTTTTATACAGTCTTTTTTTTTTTAAGTTTTTTTTTTAAGGTTTTTATTTATTTGACAGAGAGATAGAGAGAGAGCACAAGTAGGCCGAGTGGCAGGCAGAGGGAGAGGGAGAAGCAGGCTCTCCGCTGAGCAAGGAGCCCGACACGGGGCTCAATCCCAGGACCCTGGGATCATGACCTGAGCTGAAGGCAGCCGCTTAACCGACTGAGCCACCCAGGCTTTAGACATTGATAAAAATATTATGAATACTGAACTCATAAAAAGAATTTGGATGTTTCCTTTTCCTGTGATCTAGAAAAATGATACAGTATTAGAATTAGTTTTTCTTTAAATGCTTTGTAGAATTCCTCTGTGAAACCTGGGTCTTTCTTGGTAGGCATGGTTGTTCTTTGTTCACTTTATTTCTTCTATGGATATTGGTTTTCTTGGGAAAATTTCTCCCTTTGTGGTCAGTTTTATTGAAGTATATTTCCTTAGAAAATTATTTCATTCATGTTTTCAAATTGATTTGCACAGAGTTGGCCAAAATACTCTGTCATTTTTAAGTTTTGTCTGTGTTTTATTTTTCCAGTTGACTGATTTTTTGTATTTAGGCTTTTCCTTGGTTTTTTGCCCCCAGTAGGTTAGGTAGTTGTGTTTTTGGTTTTATTTTTTCCGTTAAAAGAACCGTTTTCTGGGTTTAATTTTTTTTTAATTTTTAATTATACTATTTTGGTGTTTCAAACTTAATTTTTGCTTTTATCTTTAGTAACAAGTCATTTCTTCTTTCCTGTGGTTTATTTTATTTTATTTTTTTAAAGATTTTATTTATTTATTTGACAGGGAGAGACACAGCGAGAGAGGGAACACAAGCAGGGGGAGTGGGAGAGGGAGAAGCAGGCTTTCCACAGAGCAGGGAGCCGGATGTGGGACTGGATCCCAGCACCCTGGGATCGAGACCTGAACTGAAGGCAGATGCTTAACGACTGAGCCACCCAGGCGCCCTCCTGTGGTTTATTTTATTGTTACTTATACTGAGTCAGATGCTTGCGCTATTTTTTTATTCCTAATTCTGTAGGAAGGTACCATTTTTTTGACACTGCTCGGAAGATTTTTGTCTTTAGTTTTGGGAAATTTGACCCTGATATATCCTGGCATGGATTTCTTGGAGTTTTTCCATTTTGGGGTTCACTCAGCTTGAATATGCAGATTGGTTTCTTTTGCCAAGTTTGGGGCATTTTCAGCCGTTATTTCTCTAAAACTTCTTCAGGTCTCCCCTCTTTATCTCCTTCTGTGACGTGAGTGTTGTATCTTTTGTTATGGTCCCATAAATCCCTGAACCTCTCAATTATTTTTCAGTCTCTTCTCTCTTGCTCAGATTAGTGCTTTCTGTTGCTTTAAGTTCACAGATTTCTCCCCACCTTTGTTTTTGAGTCCACTGAGTTTTTAATTTATTTTATTTTGGTTATTTTATTTTTCAGTTCTAAATTCCCATTTGGTTCTTTTTTATGTCTTCTCTTTATTTGCTGAGACTTTGTTTCTTTGCTGAGATTTTCTATTTTTTCACTTAAGCATGTTAGTGATTGCTTATTAAAGCATTTTTACAATGGCTGCTTTAAAATCCTTGTTAGGTAACAAGGTTGTTTTGGTTCTTTTCCAGCGTCTGTGTCATCTTAGTGTTGGTGTCTTGATTGTCTTTTCATGTTCACATTTAGTATTTTCCAAATTTAGGCCTTTTCTTAATTCTTGGTATGATAAGTTATTTTATGTTATATCTTGGACATTTGGGTAGTATATTAAGAATCTCCAGATTGTATTTAAACCTTCTATTTTAGCAGGTCCCTCTGACATCATGCCAGTGGTAAAGTGCCACGTACTGCCAAGTTGGAGGGGGTCAAAGTTTAGGTTTTCTACTCAACTTCTATAGTCACTCTGGAGGGGTGTCTCCTAATTGATGGATGGAGCTGGGAGTTCAGGCTGACACCACCCTGGCTGGGACAGAGGGGGTGCCTCAGACTTTCTGGCCTCCGCTGACAGCAAGATTGCAGGGATTATGAAGGGGGAGGTTATTACAATTGAAGAGTGGTGAAAATCCTGACTTTCTATTAGACCTCTTCTGTTACCACCATAGAGGAGAGGAAGAGGGGCTCCTTGTTATTACCAAGTAAGAATGGAAGTCTAGAGTCCCCATGTGTTCTCCACAGACATAGTTGGTATAGGGGGTGACCTCATTACCACTGGGCTGTCCTCCCTCTCTTCTTGACCTTTTCAGACAGTACCACTTGTTTGGAGGAGAGTTGGCCTTGTTAATAGCCTGGTGAATATGGAAGTGTAGGCTCCCCATTTGGCTTTTGCACCTTTGTCAAAAATTAATTGACCAAATGTGTGTGGGTCTGTTTCTGGACTCTGTTGTATTTCATTGATCTGTCTGTCTGTATGCTAATACTATACTATCTAAATTATCATAGCCCTCCAACTTTGTTCTTTTTCAAAGTTGTTTTAATTATTCCGGGTCCTTTGCATTTCCATGTGAATTTTAAAATTAGCTTGTCAATTTGGCCGTACTCCTGTTTCTATTACAGGTTAGTATTGTAATAGGAAAACATGGTTGTGAGTTGCCTAATTTTATGGTCTTTATTAAATAATTAAAACATATTCAAAAAATGTGTGAGAAAATTTAGAAAATATAGATAAGCAAAAACTCAAAAGATACACTAAAATCACCCAGACTTTTAATTATAAAAGATCGTTAAAAAATATAGCTTATAAAATGCAATGTGTCCCATAATAACATATGTAGACATGAACATATTGCATATTTATATAGAGATATCATATGTACAGGTATACACACATGTATTTATTCATATGCAGAGAAGACAGTTTGGGAGTTTATATACCAAAATATTAGTAATGATTATCTTTGGGGGCATGATAAAGGATGAACTATGTTTAACCTTATCACATTATTCTCATTCGACTATTGAAGACTAATGCAAGAATTGCTCTATTACTATTGGTATACTTGTATAATTTGGTGCTTTAATAATAAACATTTAATGAGATTAGAAATTATTTTTTCTTTTCATTTTCTTTATCCTTTTCAAAAATAGTTTCATCAAAGTCCCTTTCTACTGCCAACTGGCAAGAAGAAACGGGTCAGTAAACAGTGCAAGCTGATGCGTCTTCCATTTGCAAGGTAATTGCTTCAAACTTGGTTAAATACTTGCACACTTCTACCTAGATAATACTTAGAATAGTTTTTATTTAGTCTTATTTCTCGAAACATAGAAAAACATTTTAAAATAAATAATGAAAACTACTTGTTAACACTGTACCAGTAAAAGAAATTAAAGGTATAACCTAATAGAGCTAAAATAATATTCAGCTTTCCCATAGACTCTATAGAAGAAAGAGGCAAAGATGAACCTTTAGTTTCATGGGTTTGAATTATACTGGTTCAGAGTGTTTAGATTTTTATGTAGCACATTCAGTGTTTGTGTGTGTTATACAGTGTTTGATCTTCATCAACGTGTAGTTACCTAGTAAGGAATGAGATGGTCTGTAGTTTCTTGCTATAGGTTGTATCTCCAGGGCTGCAAGGAGACTTAACCATCAATTTAGTAACCATGAGCATCTGTAGTAGTATCCTGCTACTCTTTGGTTCTTTTCTTTCTTTTCCCCTACATCCCCACTGGCATCATGTCTTTTGCTGGGTAAATCTGATAACTATTTCTATCTTTATTAACTTGCATACTGCAATATTTTAGAATTCCTGCTTTTCTTTATCTCCAACAACACTTGTTATTGTCTTTTTCAGTTTAGACATATTGAGGGGTATTACATTGGGGTTTTAATTTTAATTTCTGTGATAATTAAGGAAGTTAAGCACCTGTTTATATGTGTTTATTTTCTTTCTATTAGGTTGTCTTTTTTTTTTTTTTTACAAATTTGCAGTTCTTTCTATACATTGTGTGTCAATTCTTTGTACATTACAAATCTTTTACTCTACGACTTGCCGTGTCACTCTCTCAATGGTATCTTTAGATGAAGAGAAGTTCTCTATAAAAATCTAATTTATATATTTATATATCTTCATCTATTTATTGCCCCCCGCCATGGTTAGTACTTTCTGTGGCCTTTTAAGAAAATCTTTACCAGTTGGAAGGCCATGAGGCATTCCCTTATGTTTTTTTTTTTTAGAAGTTTAATTATACTGTGAAGAATATAAATCAATCAATCAATAGCAAGCTTTAGTATCTTCCCTTTTACATTTAGATCTTCAGTCTACCTAGAATTTTGGATATGATGTAAGGGAAGGGTCATTATTTGTTTCATGTGGAAATCCTGTTGACTTTGTATGACTGGTTGTGTATATGGATCTGTTTCTGAACTCACTATTCTATTACATGAGTTGTTTTGTCAATACTACATCATCTTAATTACTAGCTTTAAAATAAGTCAATATTGATAGTGTGGGTCTCCATTTTATTTATTTATGTTTTTGTTCTTAAATAATATCTTGGGTCTTTTGGCCCGTTGCATTTCCAAGTGAATTTTGTATCAACTTGCCAGTTTACATACACACATGCACTTACTCTCTCTTTCTCTCTCTCTCTTTTGGAATTTTGATTGGGATTACATGGAATATAGTTCAGTTTGGGGAAAATGGACATTTAATAAAACTGAGTGTTCTATCTATGAACATGGTATATCATTTATTTAGATACTATGTATTTTCTCTCAGTTTTATAGTTTCTTGAATAGTTATTGCACATCTCAGATTTTTCCTACTTATTAGATATTTAGTGGTATTCTGAATGTTACTGTTTTTAAATTTCATTTTCTTCTTGATGCTAGTATATAGAAATATAATTTTTGAATACTGACCTTGTTTCCAGTGACCTTGTAATTAATTGTAATAGTTTATCTGTAGTTTTTTTTTTCATTTTCTATGAATATAATTTTATTATTTACAAATAGGGACAGTTTCTCCTTCTCCCCTTCAGTTTGTAGGCCTTTAATTTTTTTCTTATCTTGTTGCAGTGACTACTTTTTGTTCAATAATTAATAAAAGTATTGATGGACATTCTTATTGTGTTCCCGTTATTTAATATGTTTGCTTATAGATTCTCCGTAAGAGATAAAGAAGTTCCTTTGTACTCCTGGTTTTCATGAATGGCTTTTTAATTTTATCAAATGCTTTTTATGTCACTATCAAGAATATATTTCTTTTTTCTATTAATATAATTATTTTTAAGATTTTTTTCTATTGATGTAATGAATTTGATATTTGAATGTTAAATCACCATTACGATTCTGCAATGAACGGCTCCTGATGATACATCCTCTTGATATATCACTAAATTTTACTTGCTAATTTTTTAAAGGATTTTTCCTTGTATGTTAATAATCAAGATGCTTTATATTTCTTTATTGTAATAATTTGTCAAGTTCTGGTATTTATATTACGCTGGTCATAGTAAATGAATTGATAAGTGCACTTATTTTTTGTTTTCCAAAAGTACTTGTATAAATATTTTTTTTCCTTTAAATGTTTGGGAGAAGTTATCTGTGCCTGCAGGTTTCTTGTGGGAAGGTTTTTGATAACATCCCATTTTAATAGATACAGGAATATTCAGGTTTTCAATTTTTTCTTATGTCTGGTTTGTTGATTTTTTGTAAAGTTTGTCCGTTTCATCTAAAATATCAAATTATTGGCATATAGTTGTTCATAACAGCTCTAGTTATATGTTTAATGTTTGTAGGGTGTGCAGTGATGTTCTCTTTTTCTTAATATTGACTATTTGTGTTTTATAAATTTTTTTCTTGATTAGTTTTTGCTCTACGGAGTTATCAATTTTATTTATCTTCACTAAATGAATTGTCTTTTGTGCTATGTAGATCTTTCTTTTTAGTATATTTGTTTCCTTTTGCATTTAGTCTGCTCCTTATTATTTCTCTTTCTGTTTTGCTTTTTCTTTCTTTTCAATTTAAAACTTTTATTATTCCTGTTATTATTTGTTTCTCAAGCTAGTTTAGATTATTAAATTTCAGACTTTTAAAAAAATATGCATTTAAGACTTATTTTTGTGTAAGTACTGCTTTAGCTGCACCCCACAATTTTTAATATGTCATATCCTTATTATCTTGGAGTTCAGAATATTTTCTACTTTCTGTTCTGATACATTCTTTGACCCTTGGATCATTAACAAGCATATTACATTTCTAATCAGCTGAGTATTTTTTTTCTAATTACTTTTTGGTTTTGATTTCTAGCTGATTTCCATTAGTTACAAAACATAGATCAAATGATTTTAGTCTTTTGAAATATATCAACACTTTCATTAGGACACAACTTGGTCTAATTTGGCAAATATTTTGGTTGCACATAAAAAGAATGTGTATTTTGTGGTTTTTGGATGCAATACTCTATATATGTCAGTTGTGTCAAGTTTATTGATTATATTGTTCAGAACTTCTATATCCTTCTTGTTTCTCTTGTCTATTTATTCTATCAGCTACTGAGAGAAATGCATTAAAGTCTCCCACCATGATTATGGAATCATCTATTTCCCTTTTAGTTTATCAATTTTTACCTTATATATTTCAAAGTTGTTAGTAGATGCATATAAGTTTAGGATTGATTTGTTTTCTTTTTTTTTTTTTTTTTTTTTTAGGGTTTTTTTTTTTTAATTTGAGACACAGAGATAGAGAGAGAGAGAGAAGAGAAAGCATGAGCAGGGGGAAGAGGCAGAGGGAGAGGGAGAAGCAGGCTCCTCGCTGAGCCAGGAGCCCGATGTGGGGCTCGATCCCAGGACCCTGGGACCATGACCCGAGCCGAAGGCAGACGCTTAACGACTGAGCCACCCAGGCGCCCCATAGGATTGATTTGTTTTCCTCATGACTTGTTTATCAGTATGAATTATTTCTAGAAATGATTCTTGCTTTAAAGTCTGCTTGTCTGATATAATATTTCCCTGGTTTATCTTTTTCTAGAACTTTACTTTCAAACTCTGTTATATTTAAAATGCATATAAGTTCTCTTTTAAAAAAATGAATTCGTTGTAACATCTCTTTTAATAAGAATATTTAGTATGTTTGCATTTAAGATCATTGACAATATAATTGGATTTATATGTGCCGTCTCGTTATTTCCTATTTGAGCAACTTGTTTTATGTTCTTTTTTCTCTAAATAAAATATTTTCCATTATTTAATTTTTTTATCTATTAACTTGTTTTCTTCTACTGTTCCTAGTCTAGTGATAGCAACATTCATCCTTAGATTTTTTTAATTCTTTAAAACAATACATATATTTTAAGTCCACAAATTACTACTTTCATTGTTTTGTGAAGTCAAGATTCATTTAAATTACTTACTTAAGTTTTCTATTTTTTCATATTGCTTCCTGCATTTTTTTTAAAAGATTTTATTTATTTGAGAGAGAGAGAGTGAGAGAGAGAGCGCGCGCACGTGAGAAGGGGGAGGGTCAGAGGGAGAAGCAGACTCCCTGCTGAGCAGGGAGCCTGACCCTGGGCTCTATCCCAGGACTCTGGGATCAGGACCAAGCTGAAGGCAGATGCTTAACCAACTGAGCCCCCCAGGAGCCCTGCTCCCTGCATTTTTTAATTGCATACCCATTCACAACTGTTTTCCCCTGCTTTATTGAGGTAAAATTCACAAATAAGCTTTCGTCATTTTGATATTTCTTTTAAAGATAATTTTCCTTCTGCTGAAAGAAATTCTTCATTATTTCTTTCAATGCAGATCCTGGCAATGCATTCATTCAGCTTTTGTTTTTCTGGGAGTGTACTTATTTCATCTTCAATTCTGAAGAGTATGTTTGCAATTATAAAATTTTAGGCTGGGAATTACTTTTAGAAATTTAAAGGTATTATATTATTGTCTGTGGCTTCTGAAAAGTTAGCACCTTTTTTGCAAGTTGAAGAAAGACATCCATTTCTTATTCTGGTTTGCTCAGTGTTTTTATAATGAATTTGTATTGAATTTTATAAAATTTTTCTTCTGTATCTGTGGAGAGAATCATGACTTTCCCCTTAATATCTGGTTTCATCAATGTTTTTTCTCAGTTTTTCTTCTATTTCATATTTCATTGGTGTCTGCTCTTTATTATTTCCTTTATCTTACTTTTTTAAAAAATTGAGATATACCTCACCTGTCTGTTAATGTGATGACTTCAATTTGTGTTAAACCAAATTTATATCTCTCAAATAAATTCCACTTGGTCATGGTGTATTATTCTTACTCTATATTAATGGATATGATTTGATAACTTTTTAAAAAAATTTTTGTCTGTGTTTTTAAGGGATATTGGTCTATAATCGTACTATATCTTTGATGAGGTGTTTTTTTTTTTTTTTTAAGATTTATTTTTGTGAGACAGAGAGTGTGTGTACATGAGTGGGAAGGAGGGGTAGAGGAGATTCCCAGCTGAGCAGGGAGCCCAACGCGGGACTCCAATCCAGGACCCTGGGAACATGACCTGAGCTGAAGGCAGACACCCAACCGACTAAGCCACTCAGGCACCCCTCTTTGATGAGTTTTAATAGGAGTTGTGCTGGCTTTGTAAAACAAGATAAAAAGTATTCCCTCTTTATCCATTTTTTGAAAGAGTTTGTGCAACTGGTATTTCTTCCTCATGTGTTTGAAAGAATTAACAAGAGAAGTAATTTGGGCCTGAGTTTTTAATTATTAATCTGATTTCTTAAATAAATATGGGGCCTTTCAGATTGTCTATATCTTTTCAATCAATTTAGAAAATACTTGTTTTTCCAGAAAATCATCCATTTCTTCTAGGCAGTCATATTTATTGGTATATAAAGTTGTTTATAATATGCTGTTACTATTCTTTCAAGGCCTGTGACATCTGTAGTGAGGTTCTTTCTCTCATCCCTGATATTGGTAATTTGTATCTCCTTTTTTTTTAATTTATCAAACTGGCTACAGTATTGTCAATTTTTCTTCCATTTCATATTTCATTGGTTTCTGCCCTTTATTTCCTTTCTTCCACTTATTTTTTAAATTTGAGGTATAATTCACATAACAAAGTTGGTCATAACATGAAGGGCATCCTTTTAAAGTGTACAGTGGATTTCAGTATATTCACAAAATTGTGCAATCCTCACCACTAATTCCAGAATATTTCCATCACTTCAGAAAGAAAGCCTATATCCATTCACAGTCACTTCCCTTCTCCTCTTCTCCGTCCCCTGGCAATCATTAATCTGCTTTCTGTCTCTATAGATTTGCCTATTTTGGACATTCCATATGAATGGAATCACACAATAAGTGGCCTTTTGTGTATGGCTTCCTTCACAGAGCATAACATTTTCAAGTTTCATCCATTTTATACCATGTATTAGTACTTCATTCCTTTTTATGACTGAATAATTTTCTGTTGTTTGCATATACCATATTTTGTTTATCCATTCATCGGTTAATGAACATTTGGCTATTTTACTTTTTGGCTATTATGAGCAATGGTGCTTTGAACATTCATGTAAAAGCTTTTGTGTGGACACAGTTTTCAGTTTATGCCTACAAGTAGAATTGCTGAGTAATAAAACTGTATGTTTAACTTTGGGAGGAACCGCCAAACTGTTTTACAAAGCTGCTGCATTGTTTTACATTTCCATCAGCAAAGTATTAGGTCCCAGTTTCTTTGCATCCTCTCCAACACTTGTTATGATCTGTCCTTTTGATTATGCCATCTAGTTGATATGAAGTGGTATTTCATTGTGGTTTTGATTTGGATTTCCCTGATGATTAATGATATTGAGAATACTTTCATGCTCAATATTTTCATATTGAGCACATTTTCATGGCATTTTATATCAGGAGCATTCTCTATTGGTTCTCTTTTTCTCTTGAGTTCGAACACTTTTTCCTAACACTTTATATTTGGAATAATATTGGATTGTATCCTGGATATTGTGAGTGCATGTTGTAGAAAGTCTGGATTCAGGTGTGTTCTTCCAACAAGCTTGATGTTTTTATTTATTTATTTATTTATTTAAAGATTTTATTTATTTGAGAGAGAGTGAGAAAGAGAGCACACAAGCAGGGAGGGGGGCAGAGAGAGAGGGAGAAGCAGACTCCCTGCTGAGCAGGGAGCCCAATGCCCTGCTTGATCCCAGTACCCTGAGATCATGACCTAAGCCACCCAGGCACCCTTGATGTTTTTATTTTAGTAGGCAGTTACTTTTTCTGAACTCAAACTTATTATTTCCCTGTAAGGGGCAACATATGAAATCTCCTTTTGGTTCTTTTATCCTTAGCTGGGCTGATTGGAATCTTCCTCACATATATGTGATCTATGGGTCAGCCAGAGACTGGGGCGGGGGGGGGGGGGCAGGGGAGTTTACGCACAAAATTTGGGACTCCCCTCTCTACCTCTCCTGTTATATCCCCCCATCAAACACACTTTTGCAGCTGTTTTAATTGTCCTTAACTCTTACCTTAAATCAGTAAGAATATAGATTTCTAACTTTTTCAAAATGTGGCATGGCTGAGGTTATAAACTCACCTTTTTTTTTTTAAGTTTTAACGCCCCTTTATTATCTACTTGCTTTTTGTTTATTCTCCAGTTACTTCAGGTAATTTTTAAAAATACTTTATCCAGAATTTATCATCATTATGTTTGATAGAGCTGATTCAAAAATAGCTCTTTGTCCATTACCAGAAGCAGAATCTCTCTCCTGTGTGTTTATTTTTGTTAACTATTTCTTCAAGGAGCATAGAAATTTCCTCCCAATGGCTACTCTACTAATAGTTGCCTTTAAATTTTTAACAAATATTTGTCAATATTTATTGTTATCATTATCAATAATTTTTAAGTATCTGTGATATGTTTGGCATTCAGGGCAAAATCTTTATCATTGAGGGATATTAACGCTCATTCTTTGAATTCAAGGTCAGTTTAATTATTTCTGTGGGTTTCTATGTCCATTCCCCCCCACCCACCCACCGAATAGATTTACCTACTCCAAGAATATGGCTTTAGTTTACATGTATGCCTTCTGGAAACATAGCAAACTTTACTTCACACGTAACTTTACATACAACTGTACTTGTTTGAAACTAGAGAGAGTTTTGGGTATTCCATAAAATTAATTGTAAGAAATCTATAAATATTATATATGAGTATTTGTAAGTATGTTTGAAGTTTATTCATCTTATTAGTATTACTATCCTAATGGCCCAACCAGTGATTATATCAGTTATATCTTTTTGAGACCACTGGGGATATGGGGGTAAGAAGCATTCCTGTTTTATTTCAGGTTCTAAACTATTAGAAACTATCTCTTTGCTACCTATAATTGTCTTCATTGAACATAAAAAGATACCAGAGTGGGTTTGTAGTTGGATCTAAAATAAATGGAACATAAAAGAACTATCCATGTAATTTTCTAAATAATTTTTGTAAAATACAAAATTCCTCATTCATTTCCACTTGCCTTTAGGGTTCCATTAACTTCAAATGATGATGATGATGATGATGATAAAGATAAAGAGAAAATGCACTATGATGACAATGTTATATCAAAGATATCACCTGATATTCCCTCTTCGGTATCAACAAGACAACCTTTATCAAGTCAGTATAACTTGGAATTGTTATTTCTTAAAGAAAATAATCACGATATGTGCGGTTTAGATGCTTCCGGTATATTTTTTCTATTGTTGATATCCTTCCCAAAGGTGAAGTTTTTAAAATTAATTTTGAATATCAGTATTAAAAAGTTACATTTATCAGATTTTTTCTTGAGGCCCATAGTGTATAAACAGTTAAGTTAGATCTCTTATGTCATAGATTTGCTAACTTCCACTGTTTAAAACTGCTGATAAAAAATTGAATTTTTAAGTAAACATGCTGACAAATGTCTGATCCACAGTGGTCTAATGCTGTTATTCTGCGAGCAGTATTTAGAAATGAGTCCACCTAAAGAGCTTTTCTTGGTATCTTATTAGCTTACAAATTGAAAAATACCATATATTTATTTAGTTTCATCTTCTCCTTTTCATAGACAAAAAAACTGGGGGCTAAATAGATTTTGTGTCACAAAATCTATAGCCAAAGCAAAAACTTGAGCCAGAGAAAATGATGACACGTTTTATTTACATGGTTTTTTCTAAAATAATAATCCTTCAGGGGAGTCTGGCTGATGTATTTATCATAGATTTGCAGATTGGATTATGGAGCCATAAGTATATTTCATTTAGAGCTTAGAATTGTTTTTCCTTTATAAAAATTTATGTGTGTATATAAAATTTATGTAAACTTTGGCTGCCTGCTGATAGCCTTTTGATAGTAATCCTTATCAGAGTCATCACTGTTATTTGGGTTCAGTTGCTGGCCTCCTGCCACTTAGAAATATATGTTAATGGCTCTACTGTCAGCTCTACTCTACTGTTGGGGCCAAGGCAGAGTGAATTCTTAGTATATATTTTCCATAGATACAAATGTAAAATGTCTGAATACATTGATCATTCTACTTTATTTTTATCAGCATAGATTCTTTCTAAGTGTCTGAACAGAACACATTGTCAGAATCCTTTCTGTGAAACAGCTTGATTTTTTATCTTATTTGTTTAAAATAACAAATTCCTTGTCATTACTTATTTCCAAATTTTCTTTCTCTTTATTTTATAGAAAGTCATTTCCACTCAGACCAAAATTCCATGAGTTCTCCAATGATTGAGATGAAAAATGCCCAGTCAATCAGCCACAGAAAGGAGAAACCATCTCTCAGTAATGTAACGGAAAGGAAAAAACATGTATCATCTCAGGAATCAAGTAATCCTTCTGTTGACAGTTCTCATGGGACAGACTTAGATCAACAACACATTTCAAGTTCAGAATTAAATTGGAATAATGAAATAAATGATCATACTAATGAAAAGAATATTAAAATGCAGGGAAACATACAGTGCCTTCCTGACTCATCGGAGTCTACAAGTGAACCTACTGCAGAGTACATGAATCCATTTGAGGGTAGTGATGACTTTCAGTTGCAGAAAACTGTGTATGATGCTGATATGGATTTAACTGCTAGTGAAGTAAGCAAAATTGTTACAGTTTCAACAGGGACTAAAAATAAAAACAATAAAAAATCAAATGATTGTGAAATAAAAACTTTCAGAAAAGTGAAAGATTCAAGCTCTGAAAAAAAGAGAGAAAGATCAAAGAGACAATTTAAAAATAGTTCAGATATCAATATTGATGAAAAGGTTGAAAATGGACCAGAAAAAAGATCAGTTGTCTTAAATGGCAAAGGCGATTCAGAAGATCCAGATTTTATTTTCAGTACTGAGCAGCTGACTCAGTTGAACATACTGAAGAAAGTAACCCTTCATAATGACTTTGATCAAGAAGACGGACAAAGTACACAGTGTAATAAAAGAAAGAAAAGAATACATGTAACAAATGAGCAAGAGGAAGCATACTCTTTCTCCCAAAGTTCAGATAAATTCCAGCAGGAGAGTAAATTTGATATGGGTCAGAGTTCTTTAGCTTGTCATAAAAGTAAAGCTTCTAGACAGACATTTGTGATTCCTAAGTTAGAAAAAGGTAACTTATTCTCCAACCAAAAGAATAAAGAAACCACTTCTGAAAACCTAGGAGTCACAAGTGAATTTCAAACAGCTGATCTTTCCACCAAAGATAATGAAAGTTTATGTGATTATGAGGCCCAGAATATGTCAGATTTGAAAAAGCATGTCACTGATATGCAACCTGCTCAGCAGAATGAATCAAAAATAAATGAGAAGCTTAGACAGAAAGTAAATCGGAAGACAGAAATAATTTCTGAAACAAACAAAGCATATGGAGATACTGGTAAAGATGTGCATGGCCTAGGAAAAGGTAACTTTTCCTTCCAAACCCATGAGGATAAAGAAGCCATCTCTGGAAACCTTAAAGTTTCAGATGAGTTTCAAAAACCTGTTCTTTCCACCATTGATAATGGAAACCTGTGTGATTGTGAGATCCAAAATGTGTTGGATTTGCAAAAGCAGATCACTGATGTGTACCCTGTTCAGCAGAATGAATCAAAAGTTCATAAGAATCTTAGGCAGAAAGTAAATCGGAAGACAGAAATAATTTCTGAAGTGAATCATTTAGGTAATGACAAGAATGTATATTTCCCAGAAAAGGGTAGTTCTTTCTTCCTAACCCAGAAGGATAAAGAAATCATCCCTGAAAATACAAAAGGCCCAAGTGAATTCCAAACACCTGCCCTTTCTACCAAAGATAGTGGAAGCCTATTTGATTATGAGACTCAAAATGTTCTGGGAGTAAAAAAGCATATCCATGATATGCAACCTGCTTGTCAGAATGAATCAAAAATAGATAAGCTTAGGCAAAAAGTGTGTCGGAAGACAGAAATAATTTCTAAAATCAACCAAGTATATGAGAATGGTGACAAAGGCATACACGACCCAGAAAAAGATAATTTACTTTCTCTCACGCAAAAGGAAAAAGAAATCATCCCTGAAAACCTGGAAGATACAAATGAGTCTCAGGTAGCTGATCCTTCCACCAGAGGTGTTAGGAACTTAAGTCATTATGAGACTCAAAACATTTTGGGGGTGAAAAAACATGTTACTGATATGCCACCTACAAAGCAAAATGAATCAAAAATAAATAAGAGGCTCAGGCAGAAAGTAAGTCGGAAGACAGAAGTAATTGTGGAAATGAACCAAGTAAATGAGTTTAAAAAAAAAGGTGTGTATGACCCAGAAGAAGGTAACTTCTTTTCCCTAACCCAAACAGGTAAAGAAACCATTTCTGAAAAATTAGAAGTCACAAGTGAATTACAAACAGCTTGTCTTTCCACCCACAATAATGGAAATTTGTATGATTATGAGACACAGAATGTGTTGGGTTTGAAAAAGCATGTGACTGAAACGCAACCTGCCCAGCAAAATGAATCAATAAATAAGAAACTTAGGCAGAAAGTAAATCGGAAAACAGAAATAATTTCTGAAAAGTACCAAATATATGGGGATAATGATAAAGATGTGCATGATCAAGAAAGCTGTACAAAAGATCTTGCTTTTCAAGTAAATATATCTAAACAAAGACTTGAATGCCAAGGTATCATCAGTGGATGCTCTGTGGAAATTGATGGTAATGAAAAGGAAAATTGTGATCAAATTTCAAATCCTTACAAACTAGTTAAAAAGCATGGGAAAGAATCATCAGGCAAGGCAAAGATTTTTGCAAAAGATAAAAACAAATCTATTTCCCGGTTATCAGATTCTTTACAAACGTCTGTCTCCCTAGAATCAGGGTTAAAATATATTAGTAATGAAGCAGATTCTGATCCTGGTAAGCACGTGGATCTGCAGGAGAATCTGAAGGAAAGCTGTACAACTCTTAATGAAAAAAGAGCTATCCCTTTTGTGGAAGTGGTAAAAGAAAGAGAGTGCCAGGGCAGAAAAGTAAACAAAACGGCATCTAAATCAAAGAAAAGGAAGACCATCTATCCTTCTTCAGATAGCCATAAGGTAATGCAGATAATATCTGACACTGACCAGGGAATATCAGTTGAATCTGGACAAGCTGGTGAGGAAAAAAATTCAGAAAATGAGAGAGTTGTCAAAATGAAGCCAGACTTTTACAAAGAGACATTTAAATCTTTATCTCAGGTATATTCACCTAACATACAAGATTCTTCCTTTAAGAGTATGCATGAGGATGCAGTACCTCTGAATATTTCTCCTAGTAAAAATCTGATGATAAAAGAAAATTTTGCCATGGAAAGCTCACCAATCTTTCAACTAAGTGATGGTAAACATGGGAAGATGAAAGGGATGAAATTCAACCAGAGAACACAAAAATCAGGAATAGGTAGGTCAATAGCTGAAGTGACCAAGTTTTAAAAGTATTGTCTTTTTTCACTTAACCACTATTTTCTGTTGTAACTGCTATTTCTATGAAGAACAGTATTTAACTGTGTAGCCTGAACTGTAGAAACAATATAAAGGAATTTAAAGAAAGTTAAATATTTTAGGAAGATAACAGAGTAGTAGTGTCTTGGATATTATAAACTAAAAAACAGATTTGGCCTTTACCACAAAGTTGTCTGATTTCGTGCTTTAGAGGATTAAAAAATAAGTAATACCAAATCCTGGGACACCTGGGTGGCTCAGTCGGTTAAGCATCTGCCTTCAGCTCAGGTTATGATCCCAGGGTCCTGGGATCGAGTCCCATATTGGGCTCCTTGCTCAGTGGGGAGCCTGCTTCTCCCTCTGCCTGCCACTCCCCCTGCTTGTGCTCTGTCTCTCTCTCTCTCTCTGACAAATAAATAAATAAATCTTTAAAAAAAACAAAGTAATACCAAGTCCTTTCCTCAGAATACGTGTATCTAAAAATAACAAATAAGAAATACAGTGGTAAATGTGGTAAATGCTCTAATAAAAGCACACATGTGCTAACAGATATATGGGGAGGGATTTGGACAAGAGGAACCTGCAAAGACATCATGAAATAGGTAGCAGGTTAGGCCGTAAAGGATAGGATTTTTATCTTTAGTGTTTACTTTTTATTTTCCCCCAGTTATTAAAAGAATACTCATTGCAGAAAATTGAAAGTAGGAAATCAGAAAATAGGAGGAAAAACAATCACCCAAAGAACTGCAGTCAACATTTTCGCATATGCACACAGAGTCGAATCTATGGAATTTAAAAATATATATCTGAAGGCATGCTATATATAACATTAGGTATCCCATTTTTTCCCCCTAAACATTGGATCCTAAGGACGTTCCTTCATTATTAGAAATTTTGTGACATTGGACATTCCCATATCAATCAAAATTTTCTACTGGGAGACTAACATTTGAATATATATGTATGCAGAATACTAGAATTTTTCCCCATTTTATTAAGAAATAATTTATATTACTGTATAACTTTAAGGCATAGAGCATGATGGTTGGATTTACATGTATTATGAAATGGTTATCACAGTAGGTTCAGCTAACATCCATCATGTCAAATGGATACAGTAAACAGAAAAGAAAGAAGAAAAAAAGTTTTCTCCTTGTGATGAGAACTCTTGGGGTTTACTCTCAACTTTTTTTTTTTTAGAGAGGGAGGGGTGGGGTTGAAGAGCAGGGGAAGAGGGAGAGACTTTCTCTGTCAAATAAATAAATAAAATCTTAAAAAAGAGAGAGAGACAATCCTAAGCAGGCTCCATGCCCAGCGCAGAGCCCCATTATGGGCTTGATTTCACAATTCTGAGATCACAACCTGAGCCGAAATCAAGAGTTGGATGCTCAACCGAGTCACCCAGGTGCCCCCTCTTAACCCTAGTACTTACTTATCTTATAACTGGAAGTTTGTACCTTTTGACTACCTTCCTCTTTCCCCCCCTCTCTCCACCCTCTGCCACCTCTGGTAACCACAAGTCTGATCTCTTTTTCTGGGTTTGGTTTTTTGTTTTGATTTTTTTTTTTTTAATTCCTGATGTGAGATCCTACAGTATTTGTTTTTCTGTGTATGACTTATTTCACTTAGCATAATGCCTTCAAGGTCCATATGTGTTACCTTAAATGGTAGGATTTCCTCATTTTTTTATAACTGAGTAATATGCATATAATATTAACATATAGGCACACACCCCCCACAACTTTATCCATTCATCCATCGATGGACACTTAGGTTGTTTCTATGTCTTGGCTTTTGTACATAATGCTGCTATGAACATGGGGGTACAGATATCTTTTCAAGTTAGAGAACACTAGGATTTTGATGGATAAGGCTATTCCGGGTAAAAGGAATACTAAAAAGAAGTGCAAAAATCTAGAATTACAGTCCATGATAGAGGACCGGTGAGCCATCTTGCTTCTCTCTATTCCTCATGATACCTTTCACAGAATAAGCAGTTGATACAAATGTTGAATGAATGTGTAGTAATTTGTATGATTCTGTGAATAGAGTTGACCTGTGAAGGATTTTTATCAGCCTATATGTGATTTCAGAATAAAAATGTTATGGTATACTTTGGTAGGTTGTTTCAAATTTTAAGTCTCTTTTTTTCTCATTGCTGGGGACAAAAACTGATTCACAAATAATTTCAGTGCTATTATTGTAATATTTAAAATTATAACTTGATTATTGCTAAGTTTAAAAATTTGCTGCCAGTAATTTGCAAACCACTAAATATCCTGTATCTATTTCTATATGAGGATGTCCCATTTCTCTTTACATATGTTTACAAATATTTGTGAAAATAATATTCTTTGCAGGTGGTAGAACACTACAGGACTTGACAAATACCAGTTTTGTTTCAAATAATGCTGCTAAAGCTGAAAATAAGTCAGAAAATCCATCTTTAGAGCTACCAAGCCGAAGAAGAAGGTGTACTCCTCTCTCTTTAAAGGAGCCAAATCTCAAAAGGTAAGTATTTCAGTGATATTAAAGTGATTTCAGTGTGATATTATAAACTATATGCTTTAAAAGAAATTCCTGCCTGAATTAGTGTTTGAACATTTCTGAATATCAATATATTTTTGACATATAATCACAGTATGATCTAGATAAGATTTGAAGAAATGTCTTCTTTTATTCTTTGAACAGACTTTGTAAAAAAAACTTTGTTCCCTATGATTTGCAAACTACTATTTCCATGTCTGTTATCTTCATTTGTGTTCCCTAGAAGAATTCAAAGTAGCTTATTTGTTCTTTAGCCTTAAATAGTAATAGTTTTTTTTCTTTCTTTTTTTAAATTTCAAACAGGGCGCCTGGGTGGCTGAGTCAGTTAAGCGTCTAACTCTTGATTTTATCTCAGGTCATAATCTCAGGGTCGTGAGATCAAGCCCCGAGTTGGGCTCCATGCTCAGCGGGGAGTCTGCTTGAGATTCTCTTTCTCTTTCTCCCTCTCCCCTACCCACCCCCATGCGTGTACATGCTCTCTCTCTCTAAAATATCTCTCTCTCTAAAATAAATAGGGTCACCTGGGTGGCTCAGTTGGTTAAGCATCTACCTTTGGCTCTTGTCATGATCCCACGTCCTGGGATCCCTGCTTAGTGGGAAGCCTGCTTCTCCCTCTGCCCCCACTGTGCTCTGTCTGTCTGTCTCTCTGTCAGATAGATAGATAATCTGTTTCTTTAAAAATATATAAAACATACCCCAACAAAGGGAAAATAGTACTCCGCCTTCCTATCCACCATCCCTCAGTTTCAATTGTTATCAGTATTTTGCCTTATTTATTTCATCTGTCCTTTTTTGTTGTAGTATTTTTAAAGCAAATCCCTAATATTGGGTCATTTAATTCCAAAAACACTTCTGTGTATCTCTCTTAAAAAAAGGAACTTAACAAAATTAGATTAATAGTGATCACAGCAATTATCTATATGAATTAGCAACAGTTTCTTACTGTCATCTAACAGCCAATTATCTCAAAATATGTCCAAATGCCTTTTACATGTGTTTTATGGAAAATCTCATATTTGTTATTAAAAAATAACATATTTTTGTTATTTTATATCATATTTGTTTTTAAAAGGATAAATGAAGTAGCCTGTTTTGCTGAACCCCATCATATTTGGGATCATATCTTCAAAAAGATAGAGAAAACTGTCCTTAAATTTTCTCATCCTTTGCATTGTTTCAGTATTTGCTCCTTTTGTAAAATGAAAGGCCAAGTTGATCGTTCTGACAGGTATTTTGAAACAATAACAGGTGTGGAGCAAAAGCTCTCATTCACTGCTGGTGGGAAAGCCAGAGGGTACAGCCATTTTGCAAGATAGCTTGGTGGTTTCTTACAAAACTTAACGTATACTTTTCTGTATGATCCAGCATTCACACTCCTTGGTATTTACCCAAGGGTGTTGAGAAGTTATATCCACACAAAAATCTGCACATGGATATTTATGGCAGCTTATTCACATCGCCAAAACTAGGAAGCAACCAAGAAATAAACTGTGGCATATCTAGACAGTGGAATATTACTCAGTGCTAAAAAGAAATGAGGTATCAAGGCATGAAAAGATAAGGAAGAGTCACAAATGCATTTAACTAAGTGAAAGAAGCCAATCTGAGAAGGCTATTTACTGTATAATTCCGACTATATGACATTCTGGAAGAGGCAAAGCTATGGAGACAGTAAAAAGATCAGTGGTTGTCAGGGAGGGGGCAGGGCAGACAGATGAACAGGTGGAGCACAGAAGATTTTTAGGGCAGTGAAAATTCTCTGTATGATACTATAATGATAGATATTTGTCGTTATACATTTTTCCAAACCCTTAGAATGTACAACACCAAGAGGGAACCCTAAGATAAACTATAGGCTTCAACTGATTATGATGTGTTAGTGTAGATTCATCATTAATAAAATATATACAATGCTTGTGAGTAATGTTGACAATGGGGATGGCTATGCATAGGTAAGGGCAGAGGGCATATGGGAAATCTCTACCTTCCTCTCTATATTATTGTAAACCTAAAACTACTCTAAAAAAATAAAGTCTTAAAAAAAAACCCAATAACCAACACATTGTAGAAATACAAGGGAGGGTGAGAGAGAAACAGAAGTGAAATGATCAAACAGTTTTTTAAAAAACAATTTTATCGAGCCATAATTCACATACCATACATATCATCATTTAAAGTGTACAATTCAGTGTGTTTTTAGTTTATTCACAGATACACATACCATCATCACAATCAATTTTAGAACATGTCTTCACCTCAAAAAGAAACTCCATGCCCTTTATCTATCATTCCCATACCCCCCCTCCCCACCCCACCCCCAGCCCTAGGCAACCATTCACCTACTTCCTATCTCAATAGATTTCCCTGTTCTGGATTTTTCATATGAATGGTATCATGTAATATGTGGCTTCTTGTACTTAGCATAATGTTTCCAGGTTTATCCCATTTCATAGTATGTATCAGTATTTCATTTCTTTTTAGGACTGAATAATAGTCTATCATATGGATAATACCACATTTTGTTTATCCACTTGTCTGTCGACGGACATTTGGTTTTCTCCATCTTTTGGTTATTATGAATAATGCTGCTATAAATATCATTTGCAAGTCTTTGTGTCTATGTTTTCTGTTCTCTTGGGTATATGCCTACTTGTAGAATTCATGAGTCATATGGTAACTCTTTTTAATCATTTGAGGAACTGCTAGACTATTTTCCAAAGCTGCTGCACCATTTTACATTACCACCAGTGATGTATGAGGGTTCTGAGTTCTCCATTTCCTTACCAACACACTTCTTATTTGGCTTTTTGATGATTCTAACCATAGTAGTGGGTATAAAGTAGTATCATAGTAAGGTTTTGATTTGTATTTCTTTGATGACTGATGATGTTGAGCATCTTTTCATGTGCTTATTGACCATTTGTGTATCTTTGTCAAAGGAAAGTGTATTCAGGGGCACCTGGGTGGCTCAGTCGGTTAGGTGTCCCACTCTTTTTTTTTCTCTAGAGCTATAGCAACTACCACATGGATTAGCTTTTTATATTATTAAACATAATAATTAACATAAATACTCAAATATCTATACTGAACACAAATAAATTAGAGGGTGAAATTACATTACAGAAAATTATTGCGTTATATAAAAGGGCCACAACACCTTAATATCATTTTTGACAGAGGGAAAAATTTAAAATGCAATTATTCCAAGTACTGTGGATTGAGTATCAAGCATAATTTAAGATGAAGCACATCTGAAGTTGTAATCATAGCAAAGTTATTTCCTTGCTCTTCTTTTTTCCTCCACTGATTTTTTTTATTTGGGTTTTTTTTTAATTTAAATTTAATTAACATATATTATTAATTTCAGAGGCAGAGTTCAGTGATTCATCAGTCTTATATACCCAACGCTCATTACATCACTTGCCCTCCTTAATGTCCATCACCCAGTTACACCATCCTCCTACCCGCTTCCCTCCAGCAACCCTCAGTTTGTTTCCTGTGGTTAAGAGTCTCTTATGGTTTGTCTCCCTCTCAGATTTCATCTTGTTTTATTTTTCTCTCCCATCCCCTATGATCCTCTGTTTTGTTTCTTAAATTCCACATATGAGTGAGATCATATAATAATTCTCTTGATCTCAGCTCAGGTCATGATCTCAGGGTTGTGAGTTCAAGTCCTGCATTGGGCTTCATGCTGGCAGGAAGGCTACTTAAAAAAAAAGCTTATGATGTGTTAATTAAATTAAATTAAATTAAAAATTACATTTAAATTAAATTAAAAAGAAAAGTCTATTCAGATCTTTTTCCCTTTTTTCAATTGGGTTGTCTTTTTTTTTTTTTAATTGAGTTGCAAGTTAAACTTTCTTATTTTAAACTAATTTTATTTTTTTCTTTAAATTTTTTATTGTTATGTTAATCACCATACATTACATCATTAGTTTTCAGTGTAGTGTTCCATGATTCATTGTTTGTGCATAACACCCAGTGCTCCATGCAGAACGTGCCCTCTTTAATACCCATCACCAGGCTAACCCATCCCCCCACCCCCTCCCCTAAACTAATTTTAGACTTACCAAAAGAGTTATAAAAATAGCCCAGAGGTTCCTTCCCCAGCTTTCCCTAATTTTAACACCTTATCCGCAGTACAATGATCAAAATTAGAAAATTAGCATTGGTACAATACTGTTAACAAACTATAGATGTCCATTAACACCCTTTGCTGTTTTAGAATCCTATCCAGGATCCCACCTTGTTTCTCCTTAGCCTCCTCCAGCCTATAACAGTTCCTCATTCCTTCCTTTTACTTTTATAACTTTGACACTTTTGAAGACTATTGGTCAGTTATTTTGTAGAATGTCCCTCAGTTTGGTTTGTCTGATGTTTTCTCATGATTACAATGCAGTTAAGCATTTTTGGCAAGAATTCTGCAGAAATGGTATGTCCTTCTCTCATTGCATCATTTTAAGGGGTTTATCATGTCAGTATGTCTCGGTAATTTTAACTTTGATCACTTGATTGAGGTGGTGCCTGCTGGGTTTTTTCACTATAAATCACTATTTTTCCTTTATAGTTAATGAACACTGGGGGAGATGCTTTGAATCTGTGCATTCCTATTTTTCCTCCCACTTTCACCTACTGATTTTAGCATCCATTGATGGACCTTGCCTGCAACAGTTATATTTCTGCCTAATAGTGGTTTTCTGTTTCCCTCTTTCCTTCTACATTTATTGGAATTCTGTAAGGAAGAGCTGTCCTTTCTCCCTCTCTCCCTCCCTCCCTTATTGATTGATTGATTGATTGATTTATATCAGTATGGACTTATGGATACTTATTCTATAAGTGAAAATTTAATACTATCAATAGTTATTGCATTGCTCAGATTATTCCAGTATGGCTATTAGGAGTTCCTTCAGAGTGGCTTCCTTCTGTGTTCTTTCAGCAAGACCTCATCATATTTTGAGCACTTC